GGGGGGGGGGTCATGACCCCCATCACCTGGATCCGCCCCTGTCTATCCAGTGGTGATAAACTGAGCTATAATAGTTCTAGAGATGAGGCTCTATGTCTTATCAGGTGTTCCGCTGAAGAAGAGTTATCATATCAAATTCTAGGTACCGGAAATTTAGTTGGCTTCATGGCTCAATAGCATTTTTTCTAAAGGCTAGGATTTTCCCCAAAACCTTAACAAAAATATTTCAAAATTCGCTCGAAAAGAGAATAATAGGAAATATCACAATTTCTATTTTACATAGAAAAACGTCGATTTCAGTGCCCCACCTAGGAAAAGAGCATATACGTGTCTCTAATTTTATATTACTTGCGTGGCTAACTATTACGAAGTAGTAGTTAAAAATTTGTTCAAAAGGACCAAGTTGTTGGCTGTGTCAGAAGCAAGTCCTCCCAGGGCCAGTTTTGGTGCCATTATCCCTCATCAGCTTGGATGTATTTTCTTTTTAATGGAGGATTTTGAAAATGTCACAGGAAAGCCAAACCCCTCTAATGAGAGCCAATAGACCCGAAATCAGTCCTGGGAGTACATTTATGATTGAGCAATCAGCCAACAATTATTTTTCAATCATTTCATCATCATCATCATTCATCGTTTTCTTCCACTTTTGTGATTTTAATGATTTTATTGTAAATAACTAAAAGAAACCGAAATAGTTGACACGATGCTTTGTGTGGCGTAAAATGATTTAATTTCCGTAAATCTAACAATAATCAAATAGTTTTTACCTGCAACCGAACAAGACTGCTTTATAACAAAACTTTGGGGTGACAGAACGTCAGTCGCCACCAAATGGCAGCCAAACTTAACGAACATACATCACGTAATCACTTCCTGTATGAATGCGCAGCATTTGCAGGAGCGGCTCATAGATGTCGGTGCTTGTCCGATTTGCCAATATATTGAGCAACCCTTAAGGGACAGTAAGCGTCGTCCCTATTTACTACCTCAATGAAGCAATAGGAATAAATCTAATATCTAATACACTTTTTTAATGCTTAACAATAAGCGCAACATTTTTCCTAACAATTCATTCATTTACGCCAATCGTTTCCACTCGGTGGATTGATCAACCTTACAACCCTTCGCCTAAAATATTGCAGGATTTAGTAAAATATACAGGTAAGGGGACAATATGCAGCTTGACTCAGCTAGAAGGGAGGAAGTTCGTTAACACTACCATGTATATATTGGGGGAGTATGAGGCAAAGGGCAGATGGACAAGGTTTGAAGATCAGGAAAAAATCAATAAAGGCCCTTTGTTCGGCTCACTTTGCCCTATTCTCGAGCCTCACGCACATGCGTTTGCCATTTGCTATTTATACACCTTCCCACAGCTTTCCGGTTTGCTTTGCTTCCAGATTCAGTTTGTCGCGTTGTGCTCAGTGGGCGAAGGTCCTGGTCCAAATTATTGTTTATCAACATTATAGTAAGTCCACTTTTGATTTACCGCAATTGAAGCCACCAGTAAGTAAACGAAAAAGCCGCCCACAAGCAAATTGCAGTTATCAGTTTTTTAGAATATGTACTTACTTACTCTCGGATATTGCCCCAAAAACACATCCTTTGTGTTGTGCTTGATTCTTAAAATACCTGACTCAAATGCGTATCTTTTTCCGTTGTGTGTGACAAAGCAGTTTTTATTTTTAGTCACTTAATTAGACTGGGCTTAGGTAAAACTCCCATGAATTTGCAGTAGAAAAACTGTAATTGTGTTGTAAATTTTTCAGAAAAATGGACAAACGCCAAGGCTGGGTGCTAGTGAAACAAGCTGAGTCCGAAGATTCAATAGTCAAGTCTTCAGATTCCGACGAGTCTGATGATAGCATTAGCATTGTACATCTAACTGATAGCCCCTCTGAAGAAGACGAGTCTGCCCCTCATCAGAAAGAACTGCAGGACATTGAAAGCATTTCAAGTGAAACTTACCACCAACACGAACGTGACGCGGCACTAACCGAAAACCCACATGCTCAACCAATTTCTTGTGAATGCTCAACCATTGAGGAAGAACCTGATAAACCTGAAGAAGCAATCTTGCGTCCAAATAAGGATGTAATTTCTAGTGTGGAAAAAGCCGAGGATTTGATGGATAGTAAAGAACCTACTTCAGTTGTTGTTCTCGAAGAATCAATTCACCATATGAAAGGTGTTGCAAAATGCCAATCAGTCTCAGATGAGTATCAGCACGCTCAAACAACAGCTTCTGATCAAAATGGTGCATGCGAAGGAAAATTAATGCAACCAGAGTTGGAAGCGCAAGAAGGTCCGAGAGGCAAAGAAGAAAGATCACACAAAGAGGCAGATTTAAAAGTGAAGCTCACCCAGCACGTTGATTCACTAGTTGTCGGCGACATTTTGGACAGAAGCCCCTTTACCATTACAACTGTAATTCCGCAGGATCCTGCCCCTTTACTTGAAGAGTCGGGCATAGATATGAGGACCGGAATGTACTTAGCTGTAAACCCTGAACCCGCAACTGCACAAGCTGACTCAAACCCAGAAAAAATCGTCGAAACTTTCGCCGAAACACCGTTAGGTTTACAGCCCGTTAAAAGCGCAGCTCCAAGCGAACAATCAATTCTGGATAACAAATTACTTGATCACTCAAGTGTAGGTCTACTTTCTTCAACTATCAAAGAAAGGTCAATTACAGATAAAAGGGTGATTCCAGCAAGGCGCTCATCTTTATGTTGTTCAAAACGATGTAAAATTAAAGTAAGTATTGACAAATTTTTCCTCTTATATTTAACATTCAACGTACCACGATTTGAAACCTATAGCGAACTTTCAAAAAACTAAAAAAACGGCGATCCGTACAACCTTGAATCATTTACTCCCATACAGTTTCATCGGAATTAGTTTCCAACGCAAAAACTCACTGTAGATGACTGAGAACTTCCATCAATGCTGTTGATTATATACCATTATTGTTTCAGGCTACCAGAACGTGCTTTATAACTGATAAAGCACCAAGCAAAGAGTATAAGACAAGCCATGGTTCTCGAGCAACAAATATTTCAAACCGAGCCAGTAAGGCAAAACACCTCAAAAGAAATAAGGGCGGCTTCGATCTGAACAACTACCCAAATTTAGTGCCATGCATCATCGGTCTGACTTTTATGATACTTATACTTGAAGTATATGTGTTGGACGCAGCCAGAGCTTCCAGAGATCGACCGAAGCAAGAAAAAAATGTTATTTTTGATTCTTCAACAGCAAGACGTATTAAGGTATTTGACAAGATGGACCGTCTTGTTCCAAACGACTGGGCGTTTAATCAGCCCGGTCGTCTGAAGCAACGAAATAAATTGCGATACAGACTCAGAAATTTCTGCTAATTTCTTATTCGAGGAACCGGCGACCATTACAAATTTGCTGACTTATAATAAATGCTTGTAGCTTTTTTCGTTATTTAATGTAAAACTAGAATGCTCTATTTTCAAATCTACATTTGAGAGATTGCAAATTGGACTCCGCCTGAAAACTGTTTCTTACCGTAAATTAGAATCTATTTAAGTTTTTAATTGGGGAATTTAGTAGGTTTTATTTTTGTCAGTGTGCTACTTAGTATAATTGACGGTAATAATGTATTGTTTGAATGTACAAGAAGTGAGATTGATGAGATTTGTGAGACTGAATTTTAACGGATTAAATACGGCAAATGTATTACAATTACGTAAAATATAAGATTTATATTAAGGAGATTTAATGTTAACTGTCGATTGGAATAAATAAATACATTTTTATCTGGTTATATCATTTGGTGTGTATCTAACACTTGTATACATATAGTAACATTTTTTGGGGTGAAAAAATACGAATGATACACATGTACAGAAAAAAAGACATATATTTTCCACGTAATTTAATATACACGCATAGCAGCGACTGATTGAAAATAAGTAAATCTCGTACTCACAGACAATGCTGTTCCAATTAATTCTTCACATAATCCAATTTCTAAAAAGGATGAAAAAGAAAAGAAAAACAATGATCAATAAACAATACACAATCTTAAAAATTAAATGAAAAAAAGATCAAAGTTGCCTCAAGGTCTATGTCTTTTCAACAAATAATCTACTGGGCTTACAAACGCGTCTTCCTGAAGAAGGTTGGTGTCCATCGAGAAAGTTTAGTTTTTCCTAGTTCTTGCTGTGCGACTGTTTGAGCCTCTAGTTCCTCTAAAAGTCGTTTTTGTTTCTCTCTAAACGCCGTTACTGGGTCATCATAAAGGCTATACACCTTTAAAACGTCACGAACGTCCTCAATTTCATTATTAGCAATTGCTGAAACACATATTAATCAATTGGGTGAAACCTTTAAGCCGCTTATATTACTTTTCAGAAAATTGGCTAAATCCAAAAGAGCTGTATCCTCATTGCTTCCATCCCATCGTTTGATGCAAAACAGGTTTTCTGGGTTGAATTTCACATTGTTGCTATTCCAGTCAATGCAAATCACTCTGCTAAGATCTCGGTTTAAGTTATTCAGGCTTTTTACATGATGCCCATTGGTGAAATGGGTGGCATCCCTCACCAACTTATAAGCAATAATGTTATTAGGATCTATGGCTTCAATTAACGGAAAAACCGTCATTCCTTGTTCAGCTGTATATATTACGATCTCGAAATGCTCCTTGAGAGATTCTAGAAAATAGTCTAGAACTGCAAAAAATATAAATTAATTTTTCTTTCCATATGCAACAATACTTGTATGGCTGAGACAGGCACATGATTAGAAAACATTTTATTTCGACATGCCTTTGACATGCCTAACAAAACAATTAAATTAAAATATATTTAATCTCAAGCTAGCATGAAAGACGTCGCTGTAGAAACTGCTTTTAGAAAAAGGTATCGTTCCTAAAAAAATACAATTACGAAATTTTATGATAAAATATCGGATAACATTTACTTCATTTTCATAAATTAGATATTTTAATTGCTGTTGATATATAATAGCAAAAAAAAACAATCCGATTATTTCAATCATTATTTTTTAGTTCGCTTTGAAAAATCATTTGTTATGTATATAACCTAAACTTGGGGCGAAATACCCCCATAAAAGGTTTTATAAGGATATCAAGAATAAGGCAAATTTCCCTTTGAAAACTTCATAGGGAAAACTTACAAGGTCTCTTTTTAAACCTCCACCCAGTATTATACGTCCAATCTGGATGTACGAGAACATCAGTTAATTCCAAAACCAACGTATACTTTGGTTGAATATATGGATACTGGAGAGGGTCTGGCAGTAGCTTGTCTCTCGATGGTTCTCTAATGAGCTAAAATAAAAGACTATTTTGCAAACATCTTTTATGAGACTGCAGTTTATGCGCTGTGCAAACCTTCCGATAATACTCCAGTTCTCGCCAAGTCCTATATAAATATGACTTAAAAGTGGGATAATCTGAAAACTGATCTCGAATAGCAACGCCGTCGTCATCCTTTTGCGGTGCTCCCAGAGTTACAATTAAATAGGAGCCCATGCAGCTGAAACCAACGCCGAAAAACAATAAGGTGAGTTTCATGGTTCTCCATGACTGTTCCCTTTGCTTTTTCGCTTCCTCTTCGTCAATTTTATCTTGGTTGGGGTCAGGCTGCTCCTTGGAGTTGCTTAATAGGCTTGCTAAGGGCGTTTTGTACTTGGGTTCTACAATATTGAGTAGTAACTACGCTAGGCTTGCTAGATTTAAATGCGTTACCAATTGAATAAAATCGCCTATGAGATAAGCTGCAGTGAAACTCAGGAAAAACATGATAGCTCTGGTCTTGAAGTATCACTCCAGGTCTATGCTTAATTACATTGTTAAGAATATTTATGGATCTAATTGAAAACCTGAACATTGTCTCGATTTTTGCCATAACCTAACATGTCAGACCGAAGCACACGACTTTATCTATTCACGACACACGACTCAGCAGCTGGTCTCCCAGATTCATCTGTATCTATGTTCATCTCTGTGACGCTGTGGTTCGTCTCTCATGTAACTTTAAGGATCACGGACATAGACATGATTAATAACTAAAATTTGTTATTTTTTTCTCATATTCTTTTAGAACAAATCTGCCTATTGACTGAATAGTCCGAGCGCCAAGAATTATTAATATAAATTTAAAATTCAATTAACTCAATTAAATTAGATTTAGAATTAGAAAGTTTTGGTTAAAAACCCACCCCACGAACCCTCTAGCATCAATTGGGTGTTGCCCGACTTAACCCCACTTTCTAGTGTTAAGGTTGTTTTGATATTTTTTATTTTTGAAAACTCACTAGAAATGAATAACATTCGACAAATCAAGAAACTTTCGAGATTGGGGGCCAGATTTGTAAGTGGAGTCAAAAGGAAATATCCACTTGATCCAGCCCATGCAGATGAACTGCCAGGTAAAGCATGAATAAATTGCTAAAACATTACAATTTACAAACACCCCATATCGGAGATATTTTAATTGTAATTTGACCACACAGTATTCCAATATGGGCCCAGCAAAAAGGATTACAAAAGAGTTTTTTCTTGGGGGAATGTCCAAACTGGCGCTCTTGGATTAATGGGTTTAATTGATAAAGACCGGCCAATGTTGCACAGCCCTAAAAGACTAGGATTTGCGGAGAAGTTTCTGGTATGTATCTATAATTCAATATGGAGATGTTGATTGTCGTCAATTTAGATTATTCGTTACTAGTCGGTCACAGGGTGGTCCTCAACTTAGGCAATATTCACTGATTATTTTGGATTTTAAAATATCGCTTTTTTGTTAAATTGGCAATATCTGGTTCTCCCATATTTCTTAATAAAAAATGTGTACTTGGTTCAAGTCGATATCTCTCACCGTTTTCGAGATATTTGACATTGAAACCTGTGGTGCAGGGTTTTCCAAAATTTTTCGATAATGCAACACTTTGCAAACCCAGAAATTTTAACGGAACACTTGGTTTATTTTGAAATTGATTTCTACTGAGCTTTATTTTAACACCTCACCACCAGGTCACCACATTTTTGGTGATTTTGGTGTGATTTGGACGTTTGCTTTAGTGAAAGATAGGCTTTAGAAAACGCCTTACGAAAGAACAATACCTTAGAAAAGCAAAACGCGAAATCAATATTTCCTATTGGTCAGCAGTATACCCCGATTAATCACCTATTCGTTGTAGTTGGTGCTCGATTTAACCAATTGCCTACGAACCGTTACATAAAGAGGAAAAGGGTTTGTGGGAAAAGGTATGATTCGCTTCAAATATACGCCCATCGAACACCCAAATATACTGATAATACGGATAAAATGAATAATTTCACAACATAAAACTGGTGTTCCGCGGAACACAGTTTGGGCAACTCTGCTGTAGTGGTTTTTTGAACTACTCAGGCCCTGTACCTCGGAAACTTTTAACTTTCGGATAAGACAAATTTGTTTTCACAAACGGTGTGTTGGATATTTCGCCTCAAAAAATTGTTGTCTAAAAAAGATAGAATTTCCTCACGTCTTTTATTACAGACTGATAAACAGTGCCCTTATTTCGCAATGAGAACGAGCTATTTATCAAAAGATAATCAAGAACTATCACCTAGAGCAGTGTTTATGCGGCCCGCCAAGCTATTCAAAAAATTAAATTTATGATATCGACTTTCTCCCGTCAATATATTGTTAAAAAATTAATTATAATAAAAGGGAAGTACATACTAAACCCAAACAATTTTTGACGAGTTACTCAGTCGTCGGCGACTTGTTCAAACATGCAAAACAAACTAAAATTTTTTAAAACTTTCAAATGTTATTATTTGTACAAATGTACTTATTTAATCCATAATAGCATGCCAGAAAAGCAAACAAAAAACGGAAGGTGGAAGGTTGCTGATGAACATAGGCATTTCCAAGAAAAGCGAAAATTTGATTATTTTTCCACTTTCGTCAAAGATAAAGATGTATGCTTAATATGCTCAGAGACTGTGTCGACATTAGAAGAATATAACATAAAAAAGCATTACGATACCAAACATGAACCACAATATAAAGTTTTGTAAATTATTAATGCGGCCCGCCAAAAATTTTTTTAATTTAAATTGACCCGCTGATTAAAAAGGTTGCTCACCCCTGACGTAGAGGGTATACTGCGACACACTTAGGCTCAAGCTATAAGAGGAAATTCCAATTAGAAAAGAAACTAATTTAGAAAAGTTACTTTAGACCAATTTGCTTGAAACGTAATATTTTTGCCTAAATAGTCAGTAAATTTTGTCACGTTAGCCGAGGACCACCCTGTCTTATTAAATTATAAAAGTCACCCTGCTTACGGCGTTACTTTGATTACTCCGACTCCAGTGCTAAACTGAATAATACAGTACGGTTTTGCAACTTAAAACTTAAATTCGCTTGTGTTTGTTTTGTGTTAAAGTGCACTCTTTCTTCGTTAGCTTCATGTAAATTGCATAAATCTCGCCAAAATCAGTTGTGATATTCTGGTTTTTAATTTAAGAATGGAGCTTTATCAATGAACTGATGAATGAAATTGTGTTTCAAACATCATATCAAAGAAAAACCTCTATTAGCAATGTACTTTTCGGTCAAGAATATGCATTTGTCTTCCCATAATGCACAAAGTTGCAACGCAAACTACAAGAGTCTTTTATATAATAACTGAGGGAAATACTACCCAAGAAAGTACGCATTTCGAACGTACAGGAATGTACCTATATGAGGAAGACTTAGGAAATATTGAATTTCTGATCATTTTTGAATTCCATTCAATATAGACGTATTTGGATTGATGAGAATTCAAATATCTGAAACTTTCCATCACTGCCTATTCTATCTTCCATTAGCGGCGTCGGCGTCGTTTGTCCTCCACTGTCGGCGTCGGCGTCTTTTACCTTCAACTAGCGGCGTCCCCGTCTTTTGTTTTCAACTAGCGACGTCGGCGTCCTTTGATCTCCTTTAGCGGCATCCGCCAAACAAAAGAACAGTGGAAACCGCCTCAACTTGAATTGGAATAAAATAACGAATTCTCTTTGGCGGCATTTTTTTTAATGGTTTATGATATTTGGTTCTGAAAACCGTTGGAAAAATTATTCCTTTTAGCTAAAAGGGCAAAAACCGTTGAATTAAAAAAATATTTGAATTGTTTTAAACGGTTTTGAACCCAACCGACCGACCCGTGCGTGCGCCTGTGTGTGTGTGTGTGTGTGTTTGTTCCAAATCTTTCGCGAAGTATAGATTTTAAAATAAATTATTTTGTTCATGAACTGAAGAAATTGAGGAAAACCGATATATTTATTATTTAAATCACCGGCACATTTAAGGTCCATGTAGCTCGCCACTTTTTCATCAGTTTGTTTGAAATTTAATAAGTTTAGTAATCGAAGAATACAATCAAGGTTGAAAATATAATCTAAAATAACTCGGTTTTACACTTTTCCACTGACTGCATCAATTTTTGCAAAATGAGCTATACGTAAACCACGCCTTGGATCGCGAAAACCCTCCTTTCGCCTTCCGGTGGGCTGTTTAACGAAAAAAATATCAGTTCTTTGGGAAAGAGATTTTATCGCGTTTCATTTGAGATGATTATTGCGAAATTGCGCGGAAGTATAGGAAAGAACGGGGAACTATGAGGAAGTATTATCAGAAAACCGAGAAGTTTATTACCTCGAGTTCCCTTCAGGAACGATTATTCGAATAAAGAATAATTGCTTGTTATACTAACGTACTAACGGACTTTTCTATAAATGTTTAGGTAGAGACAGCAGCAGCTGGATTTGGGTTTACGGCATTATCAGTCAACAGTAAAACAGATGTGAAATTATATGGAACAGGCCTTAACACCGATTCGCAAATAGGGTATCATGCAATCAGAACTGGGCATCCTCTAGGCATTCTTTATTATCTGCAGCCAATCTCCTTGCCTTTCAGGTAACATCAAAAGGCCTTATAAATCAGTAATTGTAAGAATGGTTTTTTTACAGAGACCCAGAAAATTCCAAAATACTTAAATTAGCTGCAGGCAGAGCTCATCTTTTGGTGCTGACATCTGAAGGACTGTTCCTCTTGGGTAACAACGCATATGGACAGTGTGGAAGAAAAATTGTCCCAAACGAAGATTACTCCAGAAGTAATTTAGTCCATCACTTGAGTACTATGTATGGAAAGAGGATAGTGGACGTCGCATGTGGACAAGATCACAGGTAACTATTTTTACAGTACTACCAGAGCATTGGAAATTATATCAGGACAGTACTGTTTTAGCTGAAGACGGATCAGTGTATTCATGTGGATGGGGAGCTGATGGCCAGACTGGTCTTGGCCATTACAACAACACTGAGGAATTCACACTGGTTAAAGGAGATATTTATCAAGAAAGGATAACTAAATTGGCATGCAGATCAGATTTTGTCTTAGCTTTAAATGGTAGATACAGATCCATTATTTACAACTAGTCATCTGAGGTTGAAATAACATGATTAATGTGGTTTAGATAAAGGTGAAACCTTTGGGTGGGGCAACACTGAATATTCACAAATACCCTTACCAAGTGGCGATCAACAATTATCAATTCCCACAAGTATAGACATGGTAAATAAACTAGGACCAATTAAGAGTATTGCCAGTAGCGGCTCTTTTTGTTTAGCTGTGACGGGTAATCGCACAAAAAATTGATAATGAAATGGAAATATAAACGACATTTCTTTACAGAAAATGGGGCCGTATATTCTTGGGGCTATGGACTCCTGGGATTGGGACCAGACCCGCAGCTGTCCAAAAAACCCCTACAAATTCCTCCCACTCTATTTGGTCAAAATAGTTTTCAACCGAACAATATTGTAGTTAAAGTGACTTGTGGTCTGAGTTACGCTGCTGCAATCACCACTTTAGGTGATCTCTTTGTTTGGGGAAGAAATACTAATGGATGCCTGGGACTTCGACATGAGAAGAATCAGTATTTTCCTCTTAAGGTATACAATTTGCTCACTGGCTGCTTGATTTCCTTCAGTAACGATGTACTTTTTTTTAGGTGGCATTGGGAGGATGTGCTGAGGACGTTTTTTGTGGTGTTGATCACACTGTTGCGTTATGTAAACCGTTTATTTAATGCAATTCTTGGTATCTTCATGTTTTTAATATAGTATCGTTTATTAGATTTGTGTATTTTTTATACCTTATATTTTTAACTGCAATAGCGTTTGAAGGTACTTTGAAAATACCGATCCGAAAATCGGGGGTTTAGACACCAAAGTTGCTAAAAAGTATTGAAAAGCACTCAGAAGCATAATTAATTTTGTAAAGAAATATTCCAGATTTCAATTTGAGTAAATTTGTTTTAATTTTTCATGCGTGAACGCTCATATTAATTTGAAGCGCACGAACGGGGAACGCACCGCAAACATAGATGAGTTATCTTCGGAACGCACTAACTAAACTTTGCTGTAGGCCAGACTTCCTGTCTGCGTAGGACAGAAAATCCGTTCCACTTCCCGTCATTTTGCAATTGGATTTTGTGGAGGGTAGTTGAACGTTTGGTGTGCTTTGAACGGCGTGTGCTCAGTGGTTTGTTCAGGACTTTGTGAGAATACCGAATACCAAAATGGATAATTTACAAGTACACACCTACGAGAAGCTAAATCTGCGTAATTTCGAAGCAAAGAACAACAACAGCATATTTATACATGGTGTTTTATATTGTTTTGTTGCCTCAGAGAATGAAATCAACCCCGACGTATGTGATGAGGTTGTCCAGGTTGTGATGCCGCCCGAAATAGGAAACCAGATCGTAAAAATTAGTTACATACCTTCATGGAATTGCATTTTCATCGCAACAATTGCTCATCTTACAACATATACTATTGCTGGTGGACAATTTACTACAACGCCATACCAAGAATCAAACTCCTCGATTGTTCAAACTGCTTGGAATCCCAACCAGTCGATTCTTATAGTAATCAACGCGGCTGGCATTATATCAGGGTATAATTACAAGCCACTGTTGGAGTTTGCCGATGATCAACAATTCCGTAATTTTACGACTGGATCACTGCATGATGTTGCTCCAAACTCTATATATCTGGGATGGGGAGCTCGCAATACCCAGTTCAAAGGATCCATGAGACAAGAAGAGTCCAAAAGAGGTAAAAATTGCCATTCCTACTCTTTTAACAGATTTAAAAACAACCGGCATCCATTTTAGCAATACCGCTACCCCCTAGCGCACCGATTGTTTCCTGGAGAGGCAATGGAGAATTATTTGTCGTCAACTACTGGAAAGATAGCAGGCGTTTCTTGAAAGTGTTCGACTGCAACATCGTGCCATTGTTTGAATCAGAACCATTTAACACCCTCTTTGCCGCCACAACATTCAAAGCCCAAGGAAATTTTATTGCCTGTGCAGCTACTGATGGAACTCACAATAAAATTGTAGTATTTGAGAAAAACTGCCAAGTGAAGTCATCCTTTTTCGTGGTGGAAAGCAGGGTGAGTGTCATCAATGTATTTAATGATTTGTCCTATATCCTATCGCTAAAAGTACAAGCTGCAGGCCTTCAGCGAAGCCGTCATTTTGATTAGAAAAATAGAATATGGGACTCGGACCACGTCCTTAAATAAAATCACGCCATATCTTTGAAACCTTTGAATTCAATCAGCTTTTATGACAATTTTCTTCTCACATTTAGGAATGTTTTCCGGGCTTTGAAGCCGTGGTCTATGGGAATTTCTTCCTGACGTTTCGTCCACAACTGCGGTGGACATTATCAAAGGCGATGAGGCAATGGGCGAAGTGATCTCCCGTGTTTTCCGACTGATCAATCAGTCTTAGTCGGAAAGCACGGGAGATCACTTCGCCCACTGCCTCATCGCCTTTGATAATGTCCACCGCAGTTGTGGACGAAACGTCAGGAAGAAAGTCCCATATACCACGGCTTCAAAGCCCGGAAAACATTCCTAAATGTGATTTAACCGGCCGTAAAAGCCTTCATAGTCTGACAATTTCCTTCTCCTTTAGAATTGTCTTTCAATAATTAGGTTTTATGAGTAGTTGCGAACTTTCAGCGGGATTGAAGCAAGAATAATCGAACTTTAAAGTAGAGCGTTTTGAGATATATTTCTTTGAGGCGACAAACATTTTTTGACATTATAGCTTTAAACTCCTCGTGAACTACAAAGCCTTTGCAGTACATTTCAAAGTATACGGTTAACTTCCCAGTTACTCAAACTGGTGAGTTTTTCGCGCTTTTAGACGTCGTGAATTAGAATTTCATCCTGACGTTTCGCCAAGCAGGAATGGTTTGCATCATCAGAGGTGGTTTACTCGAAGTTGACATTGTACTGAAAGTTCAGGAATACATTCTAATTCCCCACGGCCTTAAAACCGGAAACACCAGTTTGCAGGAATGGCCGTGCAATCTTATCTCTTTGATCACTTGTTAGTATTTTCCATTACTTGCAGGGTCTAATTATAGACGTCCAGTATCATGGAACTCAGCATGTACTAGCTGTTCATAGCCAGCATTTCATGAATAATTTTGTGAATATTTACTTATATTCGAACGATGTGTGGTACCTGAAGCAACAATTGCTTTTCCCTTTAAGGGACGAAGAAGATTTTTTAAGATTTCAGTGGATCAATGAGATGCATTCAACGAGTTTCAAATTTAGCATTTTAACGTCACAAACCGTTTATGTATACGAATATATATTGGACACATTTGGATTGCATAACGATCTAATTGGAGTTATTAACGGACCTACAGTGCTATTTACTGATTTTTCCAAGATTATGCCCCCGCCAATGTCTTCTCACAGTATAACATTTGAGAGGCCTGTGAATACTCTAGTGTTTTACCCGGCTGTAAATGTTTACGGCTTCTTCTTATGCGACGGTCGAGTGATATACTATCAGTATCACGGAGAAAAATTTCACAGTTACGACGGTGCTTTATTGGCTAATGAGAAATCAACCTTGAACACCATGTCATCCTATGAAAAAGTTTGCAATGGAACTCTCTATAAGATATATCTGAATACCCATCAAGAATTAATTGTATGCGGTCGAAAACTGGCATCTCATATTTTGTCTGTTCATATGCACGACAATTATTTGCTGTTCATATCTATTTATGCCGAGAGCAGCAAATTATTTTGCATGCGCTTCACACCAGAAAATATTTCCAATTTTCAAATGGAAAACACATTTTCGAGAAACGTAGAACAAGGAGCAAAAATAATTTGCGTTACCAAACAAGATGACATTATCTTAGTCATGCCGAGAGGCAACTTCGAGACAATAACTTCTCGCTTAATTTCCATTGATACCATAGAACATCTTCTATCAAGAGACGAGTGGGACGCTGCAGTTACTCAAATTAAACACCAGAAACTGAATTGGAATCTGCTTATTGACTTGAACATGCATCGATTTAATGACCATGTTAGCGATTTTATTGCGGCTGCAATAAGGGCTAAAGTGTTATCAATCGTAGTTTCAGAAATGTCAACTGAAAACTGCCTGATAACATTATATGAAGAATGGACCAAACATGGAACGATTTTAACCACTTCTGTACTGTATGACGACGTTAAAGAGCTAACAAAGGCTGACGTTTTTAGGTCTATTCTAAATAAACTTGTGCAGTTAAATCCCGTTCAGCATCTTATTTCCATTGTGATTCTCCAACTTAAGCATTATTCCGTAAAAGCAACTTTGAAAACCATTTTGCAAGTTTTTGCATCAAACGACATGGTATCCACAAAGGCTGCACTTGCTGAAGTTCGTCGGCATAGAGAAATGGCGGTTATCATCAAAGCTGCATACACCTTGTATGACCTTGATTTCCTGAAGTTAGTATACTCAATCTCTCCTAAAGATCCGAAAATTTACCTGCCTGAAATAGAAAAACTGCGAGCTATGGATGAAATTGACTTGAGATTCACCATGAGTCTTCAAGGGAGAGAATTTAAGAATGCCACCAGATATCTCATTCGATCATCCACCAAAAGTGATTCGTTTGTAATAGATTTTATAAGGAAATACGGCACACAATATGCTGCTTACCATGATGTAGTTCCAAATCATGAGCGTTTCGAGCTTGTTACGCTATTATATGCGGATTACCTCGGAATGAAAGCCCAGCATAACGAGGCAGGCCTCATCTTAGAGCGTGCAGGACTTAAGGCGGCAGCACTGGTCCGTTACAAAATTGGGCGAAATTGGAGAAAAGTTGTCAGTCTTCTCAATGCGCTCGAAATGCAGGCAGTTAAGAAGAAGGAAACTCTTACATCATTGGCGCAAGATCTGGCCAACCATAAGCAATTTGACGATGCCGCTTTGGTATATGAACACTATTGTTCTGATCATAAGGCTGCCATTCAATTACTTATCGAGGCCAATATGTTTGAAAGAGCTTTGTGTGTAGCTCAAAAATATAATTCAAATTACTTAATTGGTAAGTTATTTATTATGCTTTATTTAATACAGTAATATTGTCAATTTTAAACTTATTTGCAGAGACTGCCATTCAGCCGCGGTTAAAGAAGTATAGAGAAGAACTTTATGACCGCATGATGGAATTGGACAAAAATTTCAAGGAATATACCGCCAGGCTGTTGACACTCAGGAAGCAGAAGTATGAAAAGCTGATATCTAGTACAAGCGTCAATGTGTTTGGTTTTGAATTTGATGATACTGACTTGCAATCTGATGATAACATTTCCGAATATGCCAGCATTGTTTCTGCGAGTTCAATGGCAACTTCTAGTTCTAGAAATTCAAGAAGGTACGTTTCTCATTTAGTTTTAGCGCTTGTCAAACACAATCAATTCCAGCTCTACGATTTCTTCCCGCAATCGACGAAAGTTGGAGAGAAAGAAGATAAACCTCCGCCCGGGAAGCGTATACGAAGATATTGCCTTAATAAGGCAATTGTATTTATTGGCAATGGACTTACCCTCTCTTTGTCAAGAGATTAGGGCATTTTCCTTTTCTTTAGTGGACGATAATTATGAGTTTACCAAAAAGTTGCGAGACGATTTTGCAACTATTTATTTCGCTGTGCGCGATGCTATTCCTCGAATTTGGTCCAATATTTTCTTGCATGCTGAACCATCGGGAGATCCTGCCGATATAGCTGTTATTGGAAATCGCGATGAGATGGGTAAGTATCTTGGGTTTTATTTTCAAATCAAAAACGTATTGAACTGGTTCGTATCTGAATCAAGTGAAAAACATGTTCTACTTTTCAATCTCTGATTTTATATTTTCTATATCTACATTCTAGATAAACAATTCCTGACTCCACCACAACTGGAAAAGCTGAGCAACTGGCATTGGTAAAATGCATTTGAAGTTATTTGTTCTGTTTATTTTGTTACGTTTTCTCACTGTTTTATGGCTTGACCATGTTTTAGTACAAGCGACAAGGCTACTGAAAGTAGCTGCGAATTAGAAGTAATTTTATGTTTTGTTTTATACGATCAGATATGTTATTATCTGGGGAAGTCGAGATTTGACTAGAAAAAATGTTCAGCAGTTCGTTTTAAGTAAAGAAAACTAAAAAGTATTTTTATATAAAGTTTAAAGTTTAACGTTAAGTGAAAGACTATGTGATACATCCGTAGGTTAGGTTGTTTTATCACACTGGACTGTATTGATTACAAGGTCCAAGTTGCATTAATAAACTTAATGATTTAATAAATATTACTTGTTTTATTTCATGGCAGTTTTCATCAACGTTCACTTCGTGTTAACTATCTGATTAAGTTGTTAGATGTTTCGGGCCCCTTATTTCATTTATACCGTCTCAGGGACAATAGAACACTTTTTTTATTGAACAGTTACTTTCAGTTCAGTTAAAAGATAATTAGCTGCAAGATGCGGATCGTTGTTAGATGCGTAGTCGCATTAGCATTATTTAGTTTTTCAGGTAAATATAAATTGTCAAATCCTTGTTTGATCCATACAGTTGCAACTTGAAAAAAATTGTAGAAGAAACTGAAGAAAATTGTACGGATTTTAAAGGCAATACAATCGAACATGGTACCCTATATGTACCAGGGCCCGCTGTATGTTCCATGTGCGTGTGTTATCACAGTGAACCCAAATGGTGTAGTGATATTTATTGTGACACTCCCTATGTAAGTTTTTTCTAATTAATAACTGACTGGTCAGTTTTTTGTAGGAATATTTAGCTTGCACGTTAGCAAAATCTTGTTTTTTCATGTAAGCAAACAAATTAAACCTTAGCATCTGACGAGAATCTTGGAGTATTTTTTAATGCAATATCTATTAAAATAGAAATAGGATCAAGTGGGGTAAAAGTGGGCAAGGAAATTGTACAGTTTTGCATTGTTTCAGTTTTGCAATAAATTTAGAGTTAAAGAGAGGTGCTGTGATGTCGAATGCCTGGACCCACCTGGAGATTTAGCAGCTAAAATGTTGCAAGAGCATAGAAGGCGCAAGTGGCGAAGTTCTGCCGGCCATCAGAAATTTGTCAGTAGCACTTTGTTCCTGGTTTTAGTTGTTTTAAGAGCATTGTTGTAATAGTGGGATATTTTTTCCTTAAAGGAAAATTACTTAGTGAAACAGCAATTTTCTATGAAACTATTAGTTTATTCGTTGAATTGGATAACATGAAACTGCATTATCTTCTTTCAAAATATATAACAACGCTAGGGAATTCAAAACAGGCTACCTCTGCAGATATTATGTTAGGTCTTGTATAGTAATAGTTATATTTACTTAAATTAAATGGTTATAAAACTTGTGAAATTGCAGAAAACTCTAACAATTTGGACCTCTGAAATATATACCTAATGCTTTAGGGTGCACCATCCACTATATCACACCAGTATATGTCCACTGATTAACATTATTAGTCAGCTTTTACTCTACTTTGTGTTTTTTTTATCCCGATACTTATCGCTTGTATAGTCTACATGGTTGAACTTGTAGTTGTTTTACGCTGCGTTAATGAACAATGTTTTCACTTATCAGTTCATTGGTGCTTGATGCCTGATAATAATACGCAATTAAAACAACTACACCCTTACAAGATACATTTCTTTCCTAAAATAACGACTTTTCACAAATCACTGAAGCGAGCCTCTAGTTAATTAGTTAACTTTTAAAGAACTCTGGATAAGCATCTATAAGGCTGTATGGAAATGGCGGTCCCTTATTATTATTTTACAGTACTGAAACAGTTGCTTATAAAACGTTCTGGAAATACAGGATATATTTAATCGTAACACTATGTTTTTATTAAATTTTATCGCGCGAATAGTACTGGAAAACTAAAGGTTACTTCGTCGTAGTAAGAGTTGATTCGCTTCTCTTCGCTTCACTTTGCTTCGCTTGTTCATTAAGTTGTATAATGTTTTACACAGTTAAGGGTATTAAAGCTTTTGAGGACTAGATTCAGGCATATGTACAAAAATGTATATGTATAACCTCCTAGGGCAATGGGAGTGTGGGTTTCTTGAAAAACCCCCAATAGGAAAATAGACTTGGATGAAAGTTGAAAAACGACGCGACGGGTTGATTTTCTGGTTTGCATGTGCTCCAAAATATCTGCTTATTACCCGCAATATTTATTGATGGAAATGCACATTAATAATAATGAATTAGTTGGTCGTCTATTCGTTGCAAGTTGTACAAAATATGTGATGATTACTTAAGTATTATATACACTAATTCGTTCAAAGATGCAGGTAACTCTCCATTCCCACTACTATTCGACTTTTATGAAGGTGTGAAAAGTACTATGGTTTTTCGCCCTTCGCCTAAAAATATTTTTATCATTACGACACTATGCTGATTTCAATACTTATTTCTGGTTTACCTTCTAGATTTGGTTCCATTAACCCTCAGTGAAATGTATTTGAAAACTGTGGTAAATTAACATTTACATATTTTACAAGTTTATAAACAATCTGGAAGGATTCGTGAAAAATATATCGCAAAAACGTTAGTTGTAATGCGCGACACGCCGCTCGCCCTCAATTTCTGGTATTGTCCAGACGGTTTTGGTCGTTCTTTGGTTTACCACTGGTTAGAAGTCAGTTTGTATCAAAACTCACATTCGTAATAGTGTAGGTACTTTGCGTTACGTCGAAAAGCAATACAGGCTATACTACTCACTGTGATTTTTAACAAGTTATCACTACCATAATGAGTGCACTTATATGGTTCCTAACATTTCACCATTTCTAGATAAATTAACTCTCTGCTTGCTCACACAACTTTAAACTGATATTGGTCTCATGACGTGCTATCACTGCCTAAAGTGGGAAGTATATCATTGCAATACTTCAGAAGTCATGAAAGCTGAGCATGTACTTGGATGTATATTTACATAGTTAATTTTCCGCTAGAGGAGACCAAATGGTGAAAATCGGTTACTATAATCAGATTTCTTTCCAATGTGGAAGTTCTATGTAACTCCATATATGTATATAAACGAGAAACCTTTGAGAGAACAGAAATAATGGCTGAGTTTCACTCTGAGAGAGCTCAGAAAAAAATATGGCATTCGAGTGCGAGTATGAAAATTCATCGGCGACACTATCAGAAAATTATTCTGTTGCTTACGAAATGTGATTACAGTACCCCACATTTAAAATGATTTTGTATAATATTCAAACTATGAATCCTATGATATAAATAGCAATTTAATACTGTCCTTATGCAATGTAAGACTTTCCGAAACAGAAGATAAAACGGGAATTTTTACAAAGTCTTTTGGAGTTTTAAAATCTAGGGGATAACATTATTTTGTATTTACAAACGTTTGAAGGTGCAGAATGGTATATGCCTGTATATTATACTATACAATATATTTGAGGGTTCTATTTTAGGAATTCGAGAATGTTCCATAAAACGGCCAGCAATACTGCTAAATTGTGCTAATCATAGTTCTACATAATAATATATATTATATTTAAATGGTTGATATATTCCAACGCTGGCTTTCGTTTATCTACACTAAATAATGCAAATAGGGATAAAATATTTAGCTGCATTACTAGCCCTTTTCCAAACATTTATGTACCAACCATCGTTAATTTGGCCAAACACTTATCATAGTATCTACTAGGACTTTCTAATGAAGGACAGCTAATTTAAAAAAATCGAGGAGCAAGTAAAAAGGCACTAGATTTTCTAGGTCTAATTTCTATTTGATCATCAGCAGCTAACAGCTATAAGTTGATCTAGATGACGGGCAGCTTTGGAGCGTCTTATGATTGGAAAGGATAATTTATTATCCAATTTGAAGGAATTCCGTTGGTTGATTAGCAATCCAGATCAATTTATTTGCGTCGCCCAATCTGATAAAATTTTAAATTAAAATGTCGCCCTTTCTATAAAAAGTCCTTAACAAATACTACAATAGTTGGCTTATCCCTAGCTTTGTGTTGCTGTTGATGTGGCCGGGCGACTTGCATTTGACATTGCAGCAGGGCCCGGCCAGGGACAAGCAGGAGGCACGCTTCTTGCTTGTTGCAGACTTGCTGCCGACTCTGGATGCAGGAAGTTACGTCTTTGTTCGATTTTCTCTTGCTGAAACCCATCAAAAGACCCCCAAATCACCATCAGGCGGGCAAATTTATTTTTAATCCGCTGCAGAAGTTGACTGACCTGCGTTTGAATTCTAGAAGCAATTAAATCTGGAAGCAGGTCCAACTGATCATGCAACGCCGTTAGCTTTTCCTCCACATTTGTAAGCCTATCTTCTAAAGTGTCCTGTCTTGTACTCATGTCCGATACAATTTCGTAAACTGTATTTTGGGTCTAAATGGAAACACAATTTATACATTTGTATATAAACAGGTGTGTGTAAGGGTGGCCACCGCCTAGATTTTCTATTTTCTAATCTAAGGTAGTTCTCCAGCAAATTTCATCAAATGTTTGAGAAATTTACATTTCTTAAACACATTCATTAAATATTTCATAAATGCGAGGGACGCACAGAAAATCTGCCAGTACCAGCACCAAGAGAATTAGTGAAACAGAACAAAGCCATAATCGAAAACAAGATTAAGATCGACAATGAGAAATAGATTCAGTGGTTTTTCGCTGATGAACGAGCAACAAAATATTTTTAGATCGATTGGGGAAAGTGATGCCAAAATCATGATGTCCGCAGCCGCTAAATGGTACTGCTTGGGCAGAGGAATGAACCTCTGAACTAAAAAAGTTTAAAAGTGCACTATTATTTTCACTTCCTTAGTTTGAACACTATCATTTTCTGTTCACACTGTATGCCCTTATCGACCTTTTGTCTTAATGTGAACATATTCAGCAGCGAAAAGAAGCCAAAGACATAGAAAAATCTATATTGCACGAAAGGAGCCATCGATAGAATTCCTATAACTCACGGGCATTGCGGAAGAAATAAAAACGTCGGTTTATTATGATCAGTTCAGGATAGGGTATAGCGTGACTTTCCAACGGTTTCATAGTAAAAATGTTTAATGCCAAATGAAACGCTGAAATAGTCGGATTTATGTATATTTTTGAATTGCGTAATCGGCCAGCAAGTCTCCGACCGGGACGGGGTTGAACTTGTCTCGTTATGCTGGTTATACTGACACTTTATTGAGTTGGGTCCGTTGCTGCAGTTAGAAGCAATCAACTCTGTGTCATTGAGGTTTATGCAAATGTTACTTAAATTCCTCGTTTTCATCTCTAAAGTTGCATTTTGACGAACCCGAGTTAATTGCTCAGTGCTTGTTCAGCTAAGGCAATATTTAACGGCGAATGATTTCCGCAAGATAATTACATACCTAATTTTCCGGCTATTTGAGCCCCTTACCTTAGCCATGTCGGTTATGGTATTGGCGTTATCCATAAGCTTGCGTTGGTCCATTTTAACTTTCCGTAATCTGCAAAAAAACATTGCACGATTTTCAAAAGAAACGCAGTTTTTTCAGATTCAATGAGCTATAAATCAGCAGTTCAAGTACCTAAAGATCTGAATATACTCACGCATATATTGCAAGTAAAAATTTCCTCTGGTGTGTTCTAACTCTACCAGGGTTGACTCTTTTCACTAGCCTTGTATGTTTGTATATCAGCCATGTTTCCCTTAAAACATTTGCTGCTGCGTTTTTAAGCTACAACAATAGGGAACAATTCAGGTAACTTTACAAAAAAATGGCGTTGAAGTTATAGGAGAAAAATCGAATTTCAACCATGTTTGCTTGCATTACAACAAAGCTATTGAACAAAAAAAAAATAATAATCTGTTTGCTTTCAATACGTTCCACAGTATGCATTTATTTATTTCGATTTTTGTGTTGATAGTGTTTACTGATCATAGACTCAATCAACATTACTGAATTATTAAATTATTTATTTTCCTTCATTTGCTCTCCACTAGGCAGAATTCGATTTTTGCCGCTAATTTTGAATTTAATTAATATCGTGCCAAGAGAAATTCGGTTATAGGATACAAGGAGGATACATGCACTTAATTAAACTACAGTTGGTCCTTTGTTTTACCGCATGCGGGCTGAGGGAACTTAATTCGTATATAGATATGAATGCTGGTGGAATGCATAAACTCGAAGCAATGAGGTTTTATGGTGTCGCAGAAAATCTGCATTCGATTTGCAAAAGTGAAGGCACAAATGAATTGAAATTTCTGTTGGAAAATATTGATAAATCCTGATATTTTCCGACAAACAGCCGCATAACTATATCAAAATTGATGGGGACAAAACAAACATTTATTTGGTATTCGGCCTATATCTAATATTCTCGCTTTTTGGCCGATTTATTTATTAAACTAGGCCGTTTGCAATGGGATTAACCAAAGCTAACAAAATTATTCGACCCAAAGTAATGTGTCACGCAACGGTAATAATAGCGAAAAAACCTACAATAAAAGCAACGTTTTGCAGTTATTAAATTCATCAAAGTAATTATGAACAAAATCCCAACTAAATTCAACCATTACTAGGAAATTTTACTCATATAAATTTATAAAAGTGTCATGTATATTGTTGAGTAATGTGCACGTAACTTCCGAAGCTGAAAGTCCTATTTCAAGTCTGAATATAAATATATCTCAAATTCACCAGCCGGGACATTAACGGAACTTCTATCTAAACACGCCGTATCTTTGGGGAAGGTTAACCAATTTTATTGACTCCGATGGTTCGTTTTTTGAGTCCTCCAGTAGTTTTCAGTAGAAGCTAAACCCCTATCGTTTAACTCAGACTGATGTAAATTAAGAACTTGTAGGGAATGCCACAATGTGCGGACAACTAATGGCTTCAAATGCTCGTTCTTACTGCGGTTCTCTACTGAAGATGGAGCGATATTGCAAGCCATTTATCTTGTCTAGTTGATCTCTGAAAAATGTGACTTGAGAATGCAACGTGGTGAAGCAGAAGAATGCATTAAAGTTTTTCCTGTAAGAATCATGCATTATTTAGCCAATTTAGTGGAATAGAAATTCCTTGCACACCTGGAGACCGAAGGTCCGCCACTGAGGCCAGTAAATTCAAAAACCACTCAAATTTCCAATTAAATTCAAAATTGATTTTAGCTTGAAAAACGTCGCGCTTTGCCAACTAAAGTGCAGGAGGAAAATAAATATGCGAACCGGGATTTGAGGTAAAAGGACACGTTTGAAGAAATTTCCACCTAATCTGACATAAAGACTGATGGCGAAAAGTCCCTAAGACGTTCCCTTAATCCTGCGAAACGGCGTTAGGCATCCTTTGTTTTTAGAGTAAAACACGAAGGATTGCTGAAGTTTAGCTATGAAAATTCGAAAGTTAAAAAGCTATCAAATAATTCCATTGCTTAATATCAGTTTCTCATTTATAAAGCATATTATTACAATATTGAATAATTTAGAACTAAAATAACAAATACGCTTTTCGCCATAGCGGGCACATCGGAATTGCAGAACAGGAAAAATAGCACGTGGCAACAAACATTTTGTTCGAAGACTGTTCCGTGAAGATTCCAGCTTTAGAAGAAAAAAAATTGCTTTATGGCCCTCTGAATGTATATGCTCGATTTTTATTCAGGTAGCAAATATTATGTCACTGCATAGTCAGAATTGAGGAAAATATGGCTTACTTTGCTCTCTGAATCCCAGTTTAACTGTCGCCTACGTTATACTCGCAAAGGGTTTAATGGAAGTGCATTTTTGATGCCCGGGATAAGTGAACCAGTGTAAGTAAACGTGAAAATGCAACGAATCACCAAAGAGATTTGATAACAGCGAACCCAGATTTCAGATTAAAGCGAGAGTATTTTAAAAATTGTGAAGACAGAAGTTGTAATTAATTTATCTGAACTAACTTGTTTTTGAAAGGAGTTAGGTTCTTTGCTATGCTACGAAAATAACCTACAGAACTTTAAGGATCCTTGACTTTCACCCCTGAAGAAGTTTCAAGCAATGGCCACATTTTTTTATATTGAAACTGATGAATTGTTGCAATTATTTTTTTCGTGAAAATGCAAGCTACTCGTACTTGCCAAACATCAGGAAAATGTTTTCCCGTTTCACTAAGTAGACTATTTACATCCTTGTAGTTTTAAAACTCCAACAAACAGTTCAGCAAATCCGATCAAGTCGTTGCTCCTTGCAGTGGAAACTTCATAAAGCTTATATGAATGAAATGGATCCTTCTTGCAAGGCTTAATTTAGCTACTTTGTTACTCGCTTATTACGAAAGCAACGTCGTAGTCATACTCACGTAAAACTAAAATAATTGGACTTTATGTGAAATAATAATTGTAGGCAACACTTCACGTTGCTTCTGATTTTTCGATTTTGCGTTTGCTTGAGATCTCACGTCCCTCGAGCGCATAAAAAGAGTTCGGGGAATAATGAATCGACTTTTTACGATGTCCTTTTAGTGGAGAATTCTCGAAGGATTATTACTCGCTATTTGAGCAGCATCACTGCTGTGTTCGTTTGCATTTGCCTATAGTTGGATTTTATCCTCCAGATACCGACACGATTCGTAATCTGATTTGCTTGATTACAGAGCCTGCGTTTAACGAGGCGAGTTTAAAAATGATTTTAAGAGTAAGTGCAGGTTTTACCGTGAAATATACGGTATGAAAATGAACACAAACTAGCTGGAATGTTGTCAAACAAATCGATTTCAGATTAATAACTAGGCAAACAATGTGAAATTTTTTGCATGCGGGTCGCTTCTTTTTTCAATTGCACATTTTTAGACCATTCGAGTTTCAGTCTAATCAAAAAGAACACTTTGAAGCGACAAAGGTTTCCCATTTTTTGGTAAATACCGATTAAACTTTTCAATGCATTTTCCAGCAAGCTTTGATGTTTACCAGAGTCCGGGTGAGCCCGGATTTGTTCTTTATTTTTTTACACTGTTCAGCTGAATACATTTAAAATAAATCTCCATATATGGTTAAAAGTTGTGTTGAACAAGTGTTAAAATATACATTCACCGATTTACATAGACATTCTGCAACATTGTTCATTCGACTACATGCATTAGGGATTCCTCTCAGCACAAAAGTCTTATGTTGTTGTTGTAACCGTAGTTAGGAAATAACTGCAAACTACAATGCCATTACACAACTGCAGCTTGCAGCAGAAATATTTATATTGCTCGTTAAACTATTTACGCGGTACAGTTCATAGGACGAAAGCAAATATGTTAAATACCTCATTTGAAGGGATGGAAGTCAGATTCGAAAAGTACATTTATGAGCGCTGTTCGTACATATTTATTTTAAACATCGTTGTTTGAGTCAAATGAGAAAAACCACGCTACATTTCCGTTACCAACCAGTAAAGTCCAATTTTTGATCAAATATTTAACAAAGGAGTTTAAGCTTGCAACCGTGTATTTGCTGTTCAAAGTGAAAAGAGGTAAAGCGCAGAAAAATCCCGAAGTAAGATCGGGCAAAACTCTCATATAGAAGACAGCTACGGAGATTAATATGTGCTTAAAAATATCTTTTAAACTCAATTTTTAAATGTTTTTATGAGAGCGGTTTTGCATAGGCAATTGTCCGAAGTTTAACTAAAAAATCTCTAAAATTAAACAACTACATCATATTAGTTACCAGCAGCAAATTTATCTTTGATATCTACATTGGCAACTGTTCCACTGGAATTCATTGATTAATGCTTGCATTGAATGAACCGATAAAGCTTCCATTGTCAAAAATCTACGAAAAATATTTATGTTCGATTCAGTTTCCATCCAAATCAACTTTCATCGAACTGTTATTGGATAGAATATCATGTATAAAATAAGTATTTGCTATCTGGATTTTAAAAATGGAAAATGTTGTTGTTGGAAAAGGCCCGTTTTCCGATAAGCAGTCGGTACGTGGCACAAAGCGGCGAGATAATTGGATTTTGAAATTATGACGGTGAATTGTCAATGTTTGTACACAGTTGAAACTTACCCGTTTGGTTAACTGGGTGTCCATCATAAAATTATGGACATGCTTTTCGGCTCTTGTCAGTTCCAATTTTCTAGAAACTACTGCAACTAATAACGCTGTACATCCGGCACCCTGAAAGAACAGAAAAAATTAAAGTTGCTCACTAAATCAAACTTGTAATTATCTGGCAAGTATAGAAGACAGCCGAAATTAGTTGGCGAAAGCACGACACTTTGTTGCGAAATATAGGATTTTTGCACAAAGCGCAAAATAATGTAGCTGTTTTTTCCTGAAAAGGAAATTTTACAAAAGACTCGAGCTTATTGACAATTTTTTGCGCTCGCAAACTTTAACATACATAACATAACAAAGACTGCATATGATTATTCCGGGGCTTCTTATGTCGCAAGGAATTCATTGAGCTTGAAAATAAAGCGCAGGGAAAATTCGTTTTTTGACTGAAAATTTGAACAGTAGTCGATTTTCTCAAAAAATAATAAATCTTTCAAAATATTCACCTTCACTTTCATCACAAAGGGGCGAAAAATGCAACGAGCACATTGGAAAACACGCTAGAAATCTCAGGTTCTAAAAAATCGATATTTTACCTCTATTATAAGTCGTTTTTGAGCGGTTGAAATTTTTAATCGACGATATCTTCCTTATTATATTACCAAACAATTTATATATGCATATCGGGAAGCTTCTTATGTCGAAAATATTCCATTGAGCTCCAAAAACACACAGGTTTTGATTTTTGTCTGAAAATTTTCCAAACTGTCCAAAATTCAACAGCATTTTAGATACGATAAAATTATCAGATCTGAAATATTGGGAATCAACCCAACAATCCATTCAGTTCAAAAAGCACGCTCATGAACTTTCGATTTTTTTCCGAAAGCTTAATAACGGGTCGATTTTTGCGCTCAAACAATGCAATAAAAAAATAAAAACGCAACGATCTTATTAAGAAACAGTTTAACCCCACCAGATTCAAAATAATCGAAAACGATGGCCCATTTTAAGCGGTTTCAATGTTCAACCGGCATGTAGTTGTTTGCAACGCTTCTAAACGTTTCTAAAGAAATTTATTTGTATACTCAATCGGTTAACTTCCGAAGTGGTTATCAAAGAACATGGTGGCCAAAGCCGAGCTTCTTACGCTGTGCATGGAAGTTTTCAACTTAGTTTAAAATCTTGACTAGGAAAGCTTGTCCCCAGCAAGCTCGTTTAAATAAGTAGATTTCCTGGAGCTTGTTAGTTTCCTTGTACGTTAATATTTAATCTTCTGGACTATTCCGCGGTAAATTTCGCAATATAAAGCCGAATATCAGGATATACATATCCATGAGTGTTCATATACACAAGAGGATTACAATGAATTTCCTGTTACCTTTAGGCCATTCCCTAATAAAAACTCCTTTTAGACCGTCAACAGAGGCTATAACTTTTTACTCGAACACTTTTATACCAAAGTTAAAATGTTTGTTCTCTATACAGCCCATGCATTATTTAATCTTTGTGCGAAATCATCGCTACAGAGGCAAATAAAAGAGATTTATATTACTTGCGTGTTAGTTTTTTATAGGTGTTGACCGCCGTTTTAATTTATCGGAAAAAGAGGCATTATCAGTCTATTAAATCGGGATGCTTCAATATACAGACCAAATATTCCGGAAGATGTGATGAATCATTTTATGTTCTTGTAAATGTGGGTCTAACTAATCACTTTAATACATTTAAATAAGCTTGGCGATCATTTCTTGCAGGAAAAGCGTAGAATAACAAATACTTTGTGTTTTCTTTCGTCATTTTGTGAATTGGCATGTTTGCCTCTTTTCGCACATGTTCAGCACTCCTTGGATTAATATGAAAATGCGGACAAGGAATAAGCTACAAGAAGGGTTGGCATCTGCTGTATTGTCAGTCGTTCTTTTCAAGAGCCAAAGGAAAGAGCAATTTTCCTGAATACATTCAACTTTTCTAATAAAATTTGCTTTTTCATCTAACTCCAGCAATTTTTATAAAGCACTGAAATAGTCTTCTGGTAAGGTTGAAGCAGTCGAGACATTTGATTAATTTAACTGCAAATCGAACAATTTCCACCTCGATCAAATTTACATCTAATGATTTCTATAATTAATTTTGGGTGATGAAGCCCTAATAAACAACAAAACCCTTTGCAAATTTCGCTAAAACGGGATATCCTCATGAAATTTAATGCTGAAGCTCTCGGTTAAAAGGCTTGCATGAAATTTTAACTATCATGCATAATAAATGCAAATATTTTATTGAATCTTTCTAGCGACCTTCATTATATAGGGCTTTTATCCATGAACATTTTCTCACTTTGCTGATTTTATTCCAATTCCAATTAGCCAAACCATACCTTTAACAGCTTTTTAAAAAAAAAAACGCGGAGTTTAAGTAAAAATTGAAAACTTTCGCAGCAGGTTGCAATATTTCTATCCATCCTCAATTGAAGTTGAATTTTTAACGTTAATAAAGTTTAAATGGTAAGCGCCCATGTTATTGCGAGTGCCTTTTAAATCAATCAGTGCATTTGACTATGACGGGACATAACCGAAATGAAATAAGCCGGTTAATTTTAAAACATATCCGATTACACGTCAGTAATGTTGGTAGCACTTTGTTGGTCGGCATTGTAATCGATTTGCGGTTTTCCAATAATTAGACAAAACGCCGCTTAATTACTTCATTGAGATTTTAAGGGACAATAAAGCGGAATTTGTTTACTTTGCGGACCGGCTGGCAAATTCCATCAGTTACTTATGAAGCTTTAAATAGTTCTCCTTTGAATTTCAGGCCATTAAATTTCGAAAAACACTTCTTTCAATTGGTGCTTAGGTGAGAGTAATGAAAGCGTTTCAGTAGAGTTGGAGATTATTATTTTTAATATTAGGTGGGTATATTGTTGCCAAGCGAAGCACTTATTGCGGTAAAGTAGCCTGAAATATAGAAGTAGCTGGAACAAGGTGGTTGTGTAATAAAGAGCTTTTCCCGCGTTTTGCTCATTTTCTTAGTCAAACAATTGCATCTAAACCATTTTCCATGTTTCTATTGCCATTGGCATCTACCCCCAAATTTGCCAATCCATTGCGCTCTGGAGCTCTCACAAGGGACGTTTTTACGAAATTCACTCACCTCATCTGTTTTCTTCATAGCCGTCTAAGTTTATCTGTTTTTGACATGTTAAGCAATCAAAATACTTACCATAATTCCCGTGCTCACTGCTATTCCCCTTCCGCAATATGTGTTTGGAACAATGTCTCCAAACCCCACACTGAGAAAAGTGATGGCTATTAACCACATGGCGTTTAGCAGATTTGCGTGTTCTTCGTCATGAAACCTGGAAGGAAAAACGAATACTTTTATACTTAAATACCGACGATAATTAATAATACTTTTGTAAGGTTTTTATGGTGACAGGAAGTCTACTTTGCACGGTTTTAGGTTGATTATTTATCGGCCATTGGGGAGAGGCGATGCTGTCGATGCAAAGGAAAACCAAATTTAGCAAAAAGCATTGGCCCAATTTGCGTTAGTGGCATAAAAGATGTATTGTGTAATACAAGAACGAAGCGGAAACATTTTCTGTTTAACCCAAAAGCTATTTGAATGCTAATAAACACCGTAACACATGGCGAATGCAGCTCCTTGAACTTTTCGAAATAAGCAGCTTAGGACTGCTAGAACTTAGGACTTTTCTAAGTAGATTAATTTTTTCGCAAACCTGTTCTTGAAACAATTGGAAATCTTTAGAGTTAAAGGCGTTAAATTTTCTGTGTAAAATTCTCGAAGGTTAATTCTTTTTCGATATATGTTAGGAGCAATCAAACAGTGGAATTGCTATGGTATAGAAAAGCGTAGCAGACAAATAGGCAAATTCTATTCTAGGTCATGTCAAGACCAAGTCGGTTGTAAGCTGAATGAAACCCAAATGTTTAGCTGGAATGTTCACATTTGGACCCTACTCTCCAAACATAGGTTGGCATGAATGATAGGCAAGTTGGACTTAGGTTGGCATATTACATCTTCGAAACGCATTAATTAAAACACCTACAATTTGAAATGACTCGAGCCCATTTGTAATTGACAATAAATCCCGATTGACTGTGAATATTTCTCCGATTTCAATTGGAATAGCGATTTTCACTTTTCATTTAACTTTTCGCGGAAATCTATGATCAGTTTGCATGCAAAGGCCATTAATTAAAATAGTGTGAAACAAGCGGCCGAATATTCTTCAAAGCGAAAAGAAATTGGCTGTTAGATAAACACAGATTGCTTGCCCGATATTAAATTTATATTCAGCTTCATTACGCTTTGTAACCAGTTTAAAGTACTTTTAAGAGCTTTTTATTTTACCTCAAAGAAAAATCATTGCTGGCCATTAAACTCCATAGCGAAAACCACGGTATAAATAACTGGATTTACTGCACTTTGGCTTGTGTATGTAAACATCAGCCTTCATTTAGCTTTATTATGTGCAAACCTTATCATATGATTTATTGACTTGGAAAAGATCAGTTTCTTTTGACTTCAAAAGGTTTCTTGACTGCTGCTGTGGATGGAGCAGAGTAAATAAAATATCAGCTACGATAGAAAGACGTAGCTTGCCTACAGGCGAATAGGATGCGTTCCTTTGAGTTTTAATATAGGTATACAGGGTGATTCACGCAGACTGTGCCTTAGAAGTTTTCCATATTGCAGTTTTTTTTTGAAACTTCAAGTTGTGTCTGGTTATAACAAGTCGTGCCAAAACCATGTAAACTACATTAGCCCCCATATGCTACAAAAGGGGCCGCTTAAAGTCATATGAATTTAGAACCGGTCCATAAATAGATCTGTAATCGCATTTTTTCTTAAACTATTGACATATATAAAAAACTATAAGAGATAAGTTAACAAGACTAGGGTTACAAAAACGAGTAATCGGAAGGTCAATCCAACAGTGCTAAAAAACTGGGGCTAGCATTTAAAATTAGACACTTTGGTGATCATTTTCGTACACCCTGTGTAGCAAGAGGGCTTACGTGTCTTTAGCAGCAGGTTCGTTATGACTGGAAATAAAATTTGAAGTTTCTAAAATCAGTGCAAGTTGGAAAGCGTCTAATGCACAGTCTACGTAAATCACCCTGTATATTCCCAACGGCGAATTGGAAAAAAAATACTACATACAAATATTTGGAATATGTAACTGTCCAATTTAGCAAGTAAAAATGTATAGACTCACAAAAAGTTAACATTTTGCGGATAATTTCGCTTAAAAGCGCCTGTTTACTTTAGGCAATTGCAAGAAATTCTAGCAAAATGAGCAAATGAAAAACTTTAATCGTTAAAAGAAAGCACCATAATGCATTTCTTTAGTGAAGTTCTAAGGAAGAAAACGGCGTTGCGGAGACAATCTCAACTTAACCGAAACTTTAATACCAATTCATTAAAAGTTTTTATTAGATCATTGGAAAAGATGGACTTACTTCGGTAAAGCAATCAGTTTGCTGGTCTCTTTGGGCGAAATGGTATTATTGGAGTTCAGAAACAATAAACGATAAATGCCATATAAAAGGTGTGAAGTGTTATCTAATCACGATATATTTTCCAGGTTTTCCCCGTATGATTAAATTTTGACCCATCCATAATAAATGTTCGAGCTAAGTTAATCTGCAGTAAAAAAGCTGTGATGCAGCTGACCATAAACAATACTCTATAGCGTGCAACGGGTTTAAAAAGGAATGCGATGAAGTCCCATTTGCGCCTTATAATCCTCCTAATAATGTGCAGCATTTAAGTAAGTTGACGATGTAAAGTAAAGGTGGAAGTTAAGCTATTAATCCTACCTTTCGCATTGCCTTAAAGTCCAGCTGGCGATGATCCACAACGATACCATAAACACGAGAAGCACAGTTCCAGGGCAGATGGTCATCAAAGTTTTGAGCACAAAACGAGTGTTAAAGTTAATTCGATTTAATGCACCGATACTACGCGAAGAGGCGTCCGTAAAAAGTTTACTATGCAATAACATCACTCTGCAAATTAAGTATAGCCTAAGGAACATTGGCAATGATAAGGGAACGTCGTATGGCACACACTTTGACCCGATTCCACCGTTTTGCTTATTTGCTAGTTTCGTTGTCCACACAAATCTGTAATGCCCCGGAATTGGATGCACTGCACATATTAATAACTCCATGGATATTTGGCAAATTCGTTGCCACGTCATCGCTATTCGCCAATCATCCGCACAATTGTCTATCATGAAGAGCTGCAAATCATCAACTCATATGTAAAATCCAACAATACCGTTCACATTTGACTACTCTATGCCTAATTACTACATAATCTGTTTGCTTTCGCCAGGAATACGCCAGTCATAATTTATTACTTCGCTTTACGAAGTAATATTGCGAAAAATCCTTCAAATGGGTTGCAACGATTTCCCTTCAGCACCAACCGAGCAAGTTTTATATCTTATTCCCAAAATATAATTTAGTGATTTCCACTCCGCTGCTGTCGAGTTTGTCGGAAGTAATAAAAACCACTAAAGGACTTAGCCGAGACCAAAGAAAACAAAAACCCTCAAAGTATCAAATTCTGAAACTTCTCTTTTGGAAGGTCTTTTACGTTGAGAGCGGTCAGGCAGAAAATCCGTCATTTAATTTATTAACTCATGTTTCATTAAAATTCAAGCGAATATGCACTGATAAAATTATGAGCAAACTGCAGGTATATGTTATGTACTTTGTTAAATATATGGGCAAAGGCCATTCACTAATGCCAGTTTTCCTGCATTTATGTGTACCCATACTGTGGTTAAATCCGTTTTTTAAACGCCGTTGCTTTTAAATGGCTTTTGCAGTAATAAAATTAAGCTGATGTTTTGGAACATAGAGTTAAATTTAAAAATAAAAAATTATATGGTGAGCTAACGGACAAAAGCTGGAACTGGCGCTAACCTCGGATTAAACAGTTTAAAAACCCCAAAAAATCACACGGCGTACAACAGATTTTTCTTCTAAGCTTACACCGAACTGGCTAAACTTAAGTTCATTGTAAGCTTTCGAGTAAATCGCCTCTGAAGATACATGTCACTCATGCTGGCGAAACGTCAGGAAAAAATTCCGTTCTGCGTTGTGAGGTTGACTGAGTTCAGTGTAAGCTTTCGAGTGAACCACCTCTGATGATGCAAGCCACTCGTGCTTACGAAACGGCAGGAAGAAAATGATAGCACGCTTTAGATAAAAGCATTTTCCATTTGCTTGAAAAATTAAAACCCACTCGAATAGCTATTTTCATCAGTGTAACATAAGTAATTTCTCCAAGGGCATGGTTCATATTAAGTAACATACGTGCAGATGTTCATTCTCACCATGTTTATGTTCAATGGAGGGTGTTCTAGTGTTACGACCCCAAATAAAAGAAAGAATGACATCAATAAAAAATACATTTTATGTCACTTCTGACGGGGCCATGCGATATTTTCAAGAGCGATTGAAACATTTAGAGCAAATAAGCATCTAAATTTGTACGTTTCGGGGCGTGTATTTCTGGATTGCTTCCACTCTCGTGTACTGCATAAATCCTGCAGGAGCTCTAAAATTAATTAAAAGTCGGAATGCTGCTGACTTGCCGAAACTTAGTCAATATTAGTTTCTTGCGGGAAAAACTGCAATAAAAAAAGCCACAAATGTAAGTGAGGACCCAGTAATCTAATTTTCCTCTCCTATATTTAGCTGGTAAAGTTTCAGGTGAAATATGAACTCTTATGCAAATTCTAATGACTTTACCTAGAATGACTGTGCTGGGAAAATATAATTATTTAAACAACATTGCAATAATTACCTGTACTTCTAAAGCGTGGTAGGCTACAATGAGGCCTAAGAGAATCACAGTCGATACAGATATCAAGGTTTTGAGCGCAATTGAGTAGAATTCATCCTGAAAGCCAAAGAAATGCAATTTAGTAATTTTCTTCACATGAGAAATATTTCAACCTTGTTCACATAGACAGTGAATTATTTTTAAGTAGACGTCCAACTTGTGGCCTTAAACTGTTTTCTCATTCTTCGAGTTTGTCATTTTTCATGACGGCATCTGCGTTTTATTCGTTTTTTATTGAGTAACTCTAGATTGTTTTATTAAACTCACCCCATGTCAATAAGGAAGGTTCTCAAAAAGAATTTGTATTAGAAGCTTCCGGCTCTCTACGAGTTCTTTGAAGCATGTTCGATATTTTGTGTTTATTGCATGGTGGCAAAAATAATGAACTTGATTAAAATGCGGAAGGCCCATTTTTTCGGAATCTGACTGTCTTCAAATTGTGAAACATTCAACACAGTCTATGAGTCAAGCGAAGTAATAAAGTGAAATCGGATCAAGGGTCAGATGTAGCTGTTCGGGAAACTGTAAAATTACTCATTACTTCGAACGCGGAAACTTCTCAGTTAGTTGTCTTCCCCAACCCAAAATAGGCAAACTCACTTAATTGCTAAGTCATTTGCGAGCAGTGTCTTGTATAGTGTTCGGTCTTAATTAACTAAACGAAGGTAAGTGAGTATTGTTAAATCTTAATTGGGTGAAAATCATAGTTATCTCCTCTAAACTAAAGGGGACAGTATTGACGAGCGGTGAATGAAAAAACCTGTGCTGTCGGGGTTGAGAAATGCGAATGGAGGAGGAATTTTAGCAGAAAGCTTTACGTTTATCGGGCAGCCATAAAATCCTCGCTCACTCACTGAAATAATAAACTTTTATTTATCATAACTGTCCCGGATTTTAACGAGCTTAAATCGAACTACGTCTTCTAAATATGCGTGGGCTTTAGCAATAGACACTTACCTTACGATAAACTCCGGCACTTGAAAGTTCATTTTCTATAACCATCACAATAATTCCAAACATTCCCATCACTAACGCATAATCACTTATCCTCTTTCTTTTTTCAAAGAGAGCTTTACGCCTTCCTAATCGATAGCCCACATTGGGCTTGTGCTTGAGGCTACCTGATGATGGCCCTTTGTAGGCAGTACCTATGGTACGATCTTCCATAAACCTTGGATAGTCTACATGTCCAACCAAGGCTACTCCAGCACCCTCCTCTTGTTGCATCTTGCCCCCTCCTCCCGTTGAGTCCCTGCTGGAGTTCTTCACCGCCCCTGGGATGGAAAGGGTCGAAACTGGTTTTCTCAACTGTAAATCGCATAATCAATATATTAACGGTTTTGATTAAACGCAATGATTTCAAGCAGTAGTTGGTGGTGTGCGTAATTTACAATTGTTCTCTATGTACTTTTGAGTGCTACCTGCCAAGAAATGACTTATATGAACTGCTGTGCTGTATTTAATAGGGGATGTTTATTGTTTAGCTAAGCATTTGTTTGATAAATTATGGATGAACTTGAAGCGAGTGAATTGAATTGTCCAAAAAGATTCTTCGAAAATTGACTAGTCTAATTGTGGTTTAAAATTAAAGCCCTTTAATACTCGCTCAAGCTCTTGAGAAGCAAAACGTGTCGGTCTGCATAATGCACCTTCTACTGTCTTTTGAAGTACTTCGGATCGGATTTCTAATTAAATACTTGGCAGCTCCAAGTCCTCAAAAGCTCATGCCTGAAAAATTTAAAAACGAACCTACGCAAAATTTGCATGTCCATGAAAACAAAATGCGAGGAAAACTTTTCGAATACCTACACGGTTATGTTTCTGAGTTTGGCAGCTTCTACTTTACAAAATTTGAATTTTACGCAGGAACGAAGTTGGATTAACTCAAGCCTGCTTGACGCTTGCCAATAACTTGATTATCTAAGTAAATATAATGGCCATTGTGATGGGGAGGGATCTGAATTTATTTAGCTGGGATTTCGTTTTGTCTGGTTTATACAAATCTTGACTCTATTTTGTTAGCGGGTCTTCTGAAAAAGCTTACCTCCACTAGAGAAGTGAAAGCTGGAAAATCTTGTGCTTTAGATGGATTACGATGGACATTTGATTTGACCCTTTTTACCTCTAATCCTAATCTTCTCTGGAGGGCCGTCAAACAGTTATCTTAAATGAAATGCCACCTTACGATAATAAACGTCTCAATAATGTTTTATTGGATTACTAGGCTTTCTTCTTGACCTTTCCGGATTTACCGTATTAACATACAAAGCTGAATTTACTGGCAATTTTCAAGTGAACAAAAAAATGCTCTCCAGCTTGTCTAACCACCTGCCTGTAGCTAAATTTAGATGACGTGGCCTCTCAAGAGTGGCTGATACTTGACTAACTTGACTTCTTGCTTGAAATCTCAAGTACTAAATCAATATCAGAACTTTTTGCCGCTTATTTTTCAGTCTCTTTTAATTGGTTTATGTCAAGAGGCTTAATACCGCTTCTGGGGGATTTCTGGATAAGCACAGTATACAGTCTTACTGACCCTTAGAAGAGTAAATGCCAACAAAACTGTGTCATTTGAGACGAATTTTGTCTGGAGTTTTAAGAGGTCAAATATGCCCATTGAAATGTCTTCATCATCTGTTAAAATTTGACTAAAACCACAATGTGGTTGAATTCACATTGTCCACCAATAGCATGCCAATGTTATCCTGTACAATGTACTCGTATCATATATTCTGTTTTCTTCTCCAGATTCCTCGCGAACACTAATTGTTTTTGATTGTTCACATTTGATCATTCAGTCAGGCTTGGCTTCAACTTCTCTCCGAATAAATCATTAATAGTACGTCGATTGCCAATAGGCCAACTGTTACGGTTTTCAATATTTGACCAGACTGTGTAACGAAATAGAACAAACAGAGCTTAGTTTAACCGATGTTGAATGTAGCCTTGCGGTGGAAATCCATTGCATTTTAAAGCAAATCAGCTGAATATGAATTTAGGCATATACTTACATCAGTTTCAAAGAGTTCCTGCAAATGGTCAAAGTAAGGAGGTAAACGTTTTACTGGGGTTCAGACGATTGGAATATTTCACTTATAGTCGATCTAAATCATTTTATATGGAAATACAAATATATTGGAGATGCATCACTTTCATTTTCCAAATATGCACAATTGAACTAATAATACCAACCAGCAAATAGCGAATCCTACCAATTTTCAAAAGACTTTTGTAAAGACTAAGTAGAAGCTAATGCTGTGAAAAGCTCGGAAAAAACAGAAGCAATTTTTGAGAACAAAGGTATTTAGTTAAAAACAAGATCAAAATAACGATTGTGTTAACTAAGTGGTTTTATATCAGCCAATATTGCGCCTCAGACCAAGCATTGCATTTGATAACGTTTTTCGTAGAAACTAACGAAACTCCCGAAAAATGCCCTTAGTCGCAAAATTCAGCAACGTCCAATTATGTATCTTATGGTCCTTTAATTATTTGCTTCTTTCCTTTGCCATTGGCCATTGAAAATTTAGGCTATATGGGCTCGGTTCTTTGTAGGACTTAATTATTATTAAAATTCATTCAGAATCCCTAGCGGATCTACTGCCACAGCGAACTGAAGACATTCAACAATTTCTGATGAGGAAAGCCCCATAAAGTCCAAAATAAACTAATTACATTATGCTCCAGGAAAATGGAAAAATGGGAAAATATGGTCTAAATGTACTTGCAGTTCAGCTATGAACTAATGCTTTGGTAGGAATTTAAAAAAGGCTTTGTATAATTTGTGTTGGAAAACTGTTTCTCTCTAAATTCTTCGTTAATTTGTTCACGAACTTTACAACTTTTGCAATAAATCAATTAGTCGAAATATTTACGCAGAAGTACCGAATTTACATTTGCTATTTTCGGCTGCCTCTATCAACTTAATCTAAAGTCTATTAAGTTGCCGGATAAGGAAAAGTTGGCAACAACTAACGACATTGAGTGTGCCAGAAAGAAGATATTATTAGCATAGAAAGCCTTTCTTGATTATCATTCGGAATGTACTTTGGAGTCAAGGTTCTTGTAGCTGTGTATTTGCACAAGATAGCTTTTTAAATGACACAACTGAATTAAGCAAATTTTTCCAGGACAAAGTACAAACTTTAAAATTAAAACGGAAGAAGATAGGCGAGGTAGAAATGAACAAGCGCATGATGGCTTTGCAGGTAAGCTATCATCCTCATTTGATAAATATTAATAGAGTTCTAGAAGCAGCACAGGTACTTATATCTTGACTTGCAATATTCAATTTTTCTGCTATCTTTCACTACTTATTCCTATATTTACACCCAGAACAACAACACTTGAAATCAATCAGGATAATTAACTGAACAATTAAAACTGTCATTGAAAAATAAGTAGTTCAATCAGTAGATCTGAGGTCATAAATCCTTGAAAGGCTGTTAAGGTTTATATGATCCCGACACAATTCAGGAGACATTAAAAAACGCTTTAATGTTATTGCCCGAAGAACATCAGCAGTAAAATGATGGAACAAAAATGAAAATCCTGTATTTGCCAGTACAACAGTACTTAAATAAAAGTTAAATTCCAGTTTATTGGATTGAATGTAAAACGTTTCGAAGAAATAAAGTAACTATTCTCCCGTAAATTCGAAAAGTTTTTAATGTTTTCTTTCGACGTCAATCCCAAACTTTTCCAAAGAAAAAATATACAGTTGAATGTTTCTAACAGCAACTAAAACAGATTATGTTTTTATCCGAGTATGTAATATTGGCTGACTGTGACCGCAATACAAATAAGAATAAATTTAACCCAATCATTAGTTTAGTCCGGAATACATGCTGAAAGAAGGGGTGCCCAGTGCCGAAATTCATGGATGTTGAAAAATGTGCTATACATGTAGGATTCTAAGAATGTTGCTCAAAGCAGTGTTAGGGTCTATCACACAACCTCAAAGTAGTTCAAGTATTTGCTTTCAAGTTTCCTTCCTCGCCAGCTCAGTCTTGGCCGGCAAATATTTCCGGCTCCATAATCAGCCTTTTTTATTTCCGAAACTAATGGTCTTTTTTTCGGGAATCAATACGGCATATTCATTTACATATTCGTGACTATTTCTCCCAAAGAAGCGAAACTGGAGTTGCGCAGGGTTTCATGTGTTTATAAATATGAATATGAATTAGAGCCCCTTTTATAATCGTCGTTTTAGTTTGAAAAAAATTTCCCTCATAACTGGAATGTCTTTGCCGAAAAAATTAAAATTTCAAATTTTTCATAATTGAAGAGGGTATGATGGCCATTTTACTATATTTTAGTTTAAGGGAAATAATTGAATTTGAATGCTATAGTCGTTTGATTTGAGTACTTTACGACATTGATGAGATGAAACTATCCAGATAATTTTTTTTGGGATGAAAAGCATTGTTCTTGATTTGCTTTAACGCATTAGATTCGATAGAAAATTCCCTTTCATGGCTTACGATTCAATTTGAGATTCAAACCAAATGCGCTCGAATTCTTCACGGAATCCTACACAAAGCAGCAAAAAAAAGTCTACAAGTCCATGCGGAACTTGCGACTTGGCTTTTCCTTTCCCAAGTTGAAATTTAATCAAATCTAATTAGCTCCATGCAACTGTAAAAGTATCAAAACATTGACTAATCTAAAATAATTTAGTAAATACAGGAAGCTAATACAGTAAGAGAGATAGTTATCAGATCAGAGAAGAAAAGCGGAGTTGAAAAGTTTGGCGCCAGCCGGAAAATTCAAAAAGTTTTTACCTGTTTACGTAACTAAACTGTGGGAAACTATCTGATAAGCGCGCTTTTGAGTCAAATTAAAGCGATTGCCAAGTAAGAAACACATTTTGCGAGTTATCCGGCGAATGCAGCTTGATTGTTTGAGGTTATGTGATAAGCAAAGGTACGCTCGGACTAGATATTCAAAAAGAGAATGATTATCCAACCGTTTTTACATAGGACACTGTATCGCTGGACACTTCTGTAAGGGCGCGCTTGAGCCTCGTTCTTCGCGCTTGCGCCATTGTTTGAGAAGAAGACAGCATGCCAGAACCCTATATAGAGAGGATCATACAATTCATCTCAACAGATTTAGCATAGTATCAAAATGCGCACGGCAACCGCACGGGACTAATAAAATACGAAACCAAATTTCTTACGGAAACGCACACCGTTGTCTCGTTTCTTTTTGGTACATTTCCTCATTTCCCATTATACCTTTTACCATTAACCCCTGTCGCACACTCAATAAGCAACCTTACCAAACCCATGTATGTCCAGCATAATACCAAAACTCCCACATTGTACATTAAATACGCTACCGAAGTTCTATGTGGCTTTACAAATTCTTACTGTTACTAAATATATCATTAAGTGATATTTTATGTTTGTTATACACACAGCGTTACAAAGGAGTATGTTGATTGCTATCAGACATTTAGTAACCTACCTTTGTACCTCCGCAGGAAATGGACAGCAGTTCGCCACATATACCCGAATTACCGGCTCATAATAATTCAAGAACATATTCTTGCAAAGTTTCAAAAAATGGCTGGTGTTATGTGAGGGTTCACAAGTAAATAAAAATTATCCAGGAAATTATTTGATTAAATATTCAGGATGTCAGTAATTTCGGTCCCGAAAAAAGGAACGGGCGTTTTTCAAGGTGGCATGCTAACTACTAAATTGCCTCAATTGTGAATACTGAAGGAAAAGGTGGCATGTAATATTCAAATAAAAGTGTTTTAATGGAGGCAGGCGCAGTTCAGTTCAGATTTTAGGCAATTATAACATTATGCCACGACAAAGTGAAATAAGACAGAAAAAATAAGCATATTTTCTCACCCCAAATCATCAACAATTGGTCAAAGCATCTGAATTAAATCGTGTTAGTCCAATTCATGACATTTTTCTGGTTCCTGGCTGACCGGTGGAATCAAAAAAGATAAAATCGCACTAAGGAAAATTTATTTAAAGACGGTATTCGGCAAACGTATTAAAGGAAATCCAATAAATGACCCTCGTTTCCGCCGTATCGTAGTATTATGAAATGTGTTTGAAGGAAAACCTTTCAAGTAACTGACTTATGCTTTATTAGCCTCCATATCGAATTGTTCAAAGCAATTAACCGACACATTAATAGGATTTCTTTACTATTTACTTTTCCTCCCAAGCCAGCAATTATTATCAAATATATTTATCGATGACTTGCATTGCCTCATGCGAATTATTCAGTTCAAGTGGTTATTTGCACTATAAAACCTGTTTTATTATGCGGCGTTTTGCTTTTATATTTAAAATATATTTTACCATTTGGTTTTAGCATAGAAAAGCCAAATAAACCATTAAAATGTACAGTAAACTTTTTATTGTAGACACAGTTTATATGGCCCATAATCTTTATAAAGGCCATTGTTTGAAACCTTTCAGTAGATATAGCAGAATTATCGTGCCACTCTAATGTTATTCCAAGAAAAAGGTTTCTAACTTGAAATTAACGATAACTTCAAAAAGTGGCTTGTGTCACAAAATATCCAAACAGTTAAAGTCATGCCATTTTCCAAACTCCAGTTGGATTAGAATTTCATTAGGAATTGTTAAAATGTACAGCAAAGGAATAAATACAGCAATATTTGCCCCTCAGTCCCAAAACCCTCAAGCAATTAGTCACAGGAAGTATTATCAAAATAAAGCCAAAAAGGGTCGGATAATAATAACCGCTTTCAGAAATCAAACTCCCGAAATCCAACTTTAATTTAATTTACCAAAAACAGGCCTTATATTTCATCAAAGTTTGTTCTTTAATATCTGGTTCCTACGTAGCAGTGTTTTGGCGCTTTTAATGCTTTTCCCGTCAAATATGAAATGCCTAAAGCATATCCCTGTGTCTTCTTTTCGTTTAGGAGCCTTTTTTAAAAATGTTCCGACAAATTTAGGGAGCACGCATTTCATACTATATTAAATACCTTTCAGTCCTACGAACAGGAAAAACAAATTTTCAAACACTTGACATAGACTGATGGGCCAAGAACTTGATATAACTGTTTATTGCAGTGCTGAAGGGACAAAATTTATAAAACCCATCCACTCATATGATTAATATTAACAACTCATTTCAATGAAAAAAACCCAACATTCCTCACTTAATTGTTGGAAAGATCATTGAAACAACCCTTGCTTATAAAGCCTTGCGTGTTGACTTGTTCATATCAAGCTGGCATTGTCTGCGCTGGAATACATTCAAAGGTGACTTATGAATTGAGGCTGAACCAAAGAGGAAAATGAGGCTTCAGTAAATTGTCAAGCCAAGATTTAGGTATTCAAGAAATGCCCGTACAAGTTTTCTAAAGAAGCGATAGCAGGACGCAATAAAATGGGATTTATTTAATATGCCAATAGAAATCTGGCGCCTTGGATATGAAATATTTTAAATCATTTAATGAAAAAACCGGTGTTTGGATAAAATTATAAGATAAAATTATTAACCTTTGCGAAAACAAAGCGCCTGTGGGCTTAGTGTGTTTAAAGGCAAGTTTCATTTTGAGTCTTTAGTGAAATTTATTGTTCTTCCTTTGACTCGCTTTAAGCGTGTTATTGGTGTTTTGGATCGCTACAATTTTTGCAACATAAAGCAACATTTCAACAGGCCAACCACAAAGTAAAATTCTCCTTAGCAATCGACAAAGATTGTTTTGCTTGGTTTTACTAAAACCGCTCTTTGGGGATTGAAGTTTTGTTTTGTTTCTGTTAGTAAAATGCCAGTTTTAAGCAAGACCGCGTCTATTTCATCAGGTAATCTGTTACTTAAAATAACACTTACACAACAGTTATTGCTGCTAAGCTCTATTTCTAGGGGCAAAAGTCTCGTTCTTTTGAAATGTTCATTCATATTTACGTTAAGAGGAAATGAAAAAAAAAACGTAAATTTACTGGAAGCTTTTAGGCAATCATTGGGTGATTTATGTATATTTCCAAACGAATGTAGCCGTAAAAATTCAAAGACTCGTTTTCGCTCGAGTAAAGCCCTGGACTGAAGAACTAAATGGTTGGAATGAACAAACTGGCTCCGTAAGCGAAAGTTTAATCTAACGAAGTGTTTGCTTGGCATATTAAGTTCGGTTTAAGAAAATTTTGCAAATTGCTTCTAATAGCCTTTGAAGTTGCCGAAATAAAAATTTGCAAATACCAGACCCTTTGTGTGAGACTCTCAAAAATGCCTTTTAATAGCGAACTCTGCTTCCTACGTGTCGATCCGTGGATTTTCATCGTTTGATCAGCTTAACTACTGAAGAATAGAAGTAGATAACTAAATAAAGTAAGTCTGTTTTCTTATTCCCATTGTTCCTGCAGCGTACTTTAAAATTTAAAATGCTATTATCATCTACGGTGGGTACAAACTATCGATTGAACTGTGAGCCAACACAATCGCTGGCAAACAAAGCGATAAATTTCATTTTATCTTCAGTATCTAAGCATTTAGACAGAGATATAACTATAAGGTAGCTGTTACGTGCCACCTCCCTATTATTTACACTTTCACCGCATACATACATTAGCTATTACCACACTCTTAAAACGGACCCTCGAAATCAATAGGTCATTTATGTTAAGCTAATTGCACGTTAAAATGAATGCTGGCTATGTTTTCACATAAATTCAGCTTGAATTGCCGATTTACAAATGTAGGTCTGGTATACAACGGGAAATCTAAAGTGAAATTTTAAGTTTGACTGTTGTCGACTAAATTAGAGCTTGTTAACAGAAACGGACATTTTCAGGCCAGAAAAACACATTTTCCACTTTCGACAGTCAGCGACTGTTATCAGCTTTACGTTCAGCAGCGGTGAAATACAAACCGTATGACCCAATATCCAAAGCAGGACACACGGAAAAACAACCCTTTAATATTCATTTACAATTGGCCCTTGGCCTATTAAATTATTTTCGGCTCAACAACACATTATCTACTAGTTTCTAAACAAACATTTTTGTATTTGTGCGTTATTTTAATGTTCGTTTTGTGGTGTGGGCTTTCATGTAGGTTTAGAATTTATGTTTCTATATAAAAATACTATGCACGTGGAGCAGATTTTCACATCAAAATATCAATAATGGGAGCACACAGTGTCGACGTGTTCTTGTGAAAAATGATTTTAAATGAAATTTGCATTGTCAGCGAAATTCAACTCCAGCTCAGTTTTGAGAGCAATCAAAGCCAAAACTCAATTTACAGAGTATCACTTACATACAAATGTTGTGTAAAGTACCACTTTTCAATAGCTGGCATTTGTAAGTTATAATCCGTGACTTGAGTCTTGGGTTTGATTGTAACTTGCAAACGCTATGTAAAAGTGTTTTGGGTTTTGTCATTTGCAAACGACTATTTTTCATAGCATTTTAGTCATAATCCGTAAATTGAATTTTGGGTTTAATTCAATGGTGAATCAGTGGATTTGTTTCGTCCTCAGACTAAGCTGACGAGACCCGAAACTTTGAAACCGGCCCCTTTTCTTTATCCAAATCAAGACGTTATATGATTTTAAAATAACAAAGAATTTGAATAAAAATTCTATTAGGAAAATGCAATTTGGATTTGGATGAAAAAATGCGGTACTATGAGTTATGCGAAGCTCCGGTCAAAAAATGCTAATTTCGATAAACCCGCAGATTTAAATGGCCTGGAAAGTTAAAGCAGCATCACTGTCCAGTTGTCCAGGCCATTTTCCTTGCTACGTTAAACAAAGGTTGCAAGCCAAACATTTTTTAATCAGCGACAAAACGCCTCTGGCGAAATCATATTATTTGGCCTCATCTGGCACTGAATTAGTTTTCCTTGCTCCGGGAACAGTTATTATATTATGGGAGATATTGCGTGTTATTTATTGGGCCATAAATGAGGCAAATGGAATTATTCAGCCGGTATGCCTCAATAAAGTGAATTTTAAAATAATTTAGAAAGGTCGCTGTTTCTCTTTATCGGCACTTTGATTCCAATGATGATAGACATTGATTTGGTTGCTGAAATTGATATCTGTTTCACACCCTTTGGTTACGATTATTCTGCTCTGAAAGCTTAGTATACAGGCCGATTTGTAGCTTTGGATTTTGTTTGTTTTAAAGTCACTTAAAATTGAAGCAAACTTCTCCTCTTTTCAGCTGTGGGCGCCAAGAGGATAAATTAAACAAATAAAACCTAAGTACAATTGGTGTAAATGAAGGAGAGGTAATGGCGTGAAAACAAAAGGATTGAAGTAGGAACTCGTCGACCTACATAAAAAATAAACTGGATAGGGAGAAAATGATTCACGTTGGGTGAGCGTCTCGGAAAAGTGCGATTTAATGCCGACGAACAAAATTGTCTACCATGCAAGTACATAATATGATTGGGATATTTGTGGGCGCAACTACTCATGGGCGTAAATTATTGGAAAAAATCACAGACAATCAGCCCAAAGTGCACATTGGCCCGAAAATGTCAGACAAACCCGATCTATACGTTGTTAACAATTTATATTACCAGTGACGCATGATATGGGTTTAAATCCTCTTCACCAGTCAATTTAGAGAATATCAAGGCCATGTTGGCAGGTAATCATTAACTCAGTGGCAAACTTGTAAATCACATTGCAAAGTTACACTTTGGATACTCTTCACGTGAGTGCTCTTTGAAATTTCACTTTCATTTGATGTGAGATCGAGTTTTGAAAAGTTGTGCCAAGTATTCAAGCATAAATTAAATGGAGAAAGGTCAATACGGTTAAAGGGAAATTATGAACGGCCTCAACGACAAGAAACTGACACTTTTCCAATGGCATTAATACGGCTCATTATTTAAAAAATTAATGAATATTTGAAAACCCCGAAGGAAAATGAACTAATTTCGAAACTTTAAGGTTGTTGCTTGTCTAAATAATTTTTTATTATTACGTGCTGAGGCGGTTTTGCATTATCCCGAAACTGCGCACAAATATTGGCGGAAACAGTACACTTCGAGGACGTTTCAGATATGTATTAATGCCATGGCACTTATGAGATGGCATTTATTAATGAGATAATTAACTACATCTGATAACATGCAAATACAGACTTAATGAGATGTGCCTGCGAATATTCAGGCATTGCTTAGAGATTCAATCTGGAATATAAAGCACAAGCTTCAAACCGAAGTGTTTGCTCAGTGGATCCATATTAACATGGGTCAAATATGCCACACTTGTACACATCCTCCAAATCAAGTGGCTTATTAATAATGCGGGCAGTTCATATCTAAGTGAACGAAATTTTAATGAATCAGTGAAAATTATTTTTGAAGATTTTTTGTGACATTTTGAGGCTTCACAGATTCTCCTGCTATGGCATCAATGTGTGATTTACACTGTGTAATTTTTCATTCAAGTCTCACAAGAGCATTGTTCCACTTTACTGGTTTTCGAACTTATAGGGTTTATTCTAAAGCTCCCAACAACGGTATTTACGCTTCAATAGCTCTTAATATTCGCTTTATGATGAATGTTATTGCACTTCTAAGTTATGGAGGTGCATGCAATCGCATTACGTCGGAATATCCGCAATATATTACCTGTCGTTAGCAATTACCATTTGTCCTTGAAAAATTTCCGTAAGACTGCGAAACCTTAATTTTATTTTCTTTCAAGTATTTATCCAATAACTTCATTCCGCTTAATTCTTCAGACAGCCATTTAGGCGATCTACTTCCTATCTAAAATATTTAACCCTCTGAAAGCAGTTGGATCGCATTAAACCCTCAAACTGTTTTATCGAACACTGGTTTTAAATTAAAAGAACGACAACATTTACTTTAAGCTGAATTGTAGCTGGTAATTGTTTTTATAAGTTTTTCCTGGCGAGTTTCAATCGATCATTGAGGTTTTGACTGCAACAATTTTGTATGCAGAGTTAGCAATTGTGACGGAATTGGAAATCTCAATTACTTGATCGAAAAATTCTATCCGAATTTTTCATTAGTAGCTGTGAGAAAATCACATTGTTCATGCGTTTTTAGTCGAATCGGAAGCGGCAGTATTAAAGAGATGATCTAATATTATCTTAGAATCTACTGGTTAGATCACGGCTTTCACGGCCGGTTAAATCACATTTAGAAATGTTTTCCGGGCTTTCAAGCCGTGGTCTATGGGAATTTCTTCCTGACGTTTCGTCCACAACTGCGGTGGACATTATCAAAGGCGATGAGGCAGTGGGCGAAGTGATCTCCC